ATTTATCAGATCCAAAAGAATTTCCAAATTATTGGGAAGTAAAAGATAATGTTCGAATACTCACATCGTCTCTGTCTCCAAATCAGACAGAAATCGAACATATTGAATCACTCATTGACGAAAATAATCATCAAGTGCCAATTAATGAAAATGAAAAAAGGCGAAAACGTTTTGAATGGCGAAAAAAGTTTCAACGAAGTAAAAGTATATGTGTTAATCACATTCAATTGTGGCTAAAAAGACGAAAATCAGCTAGCGAAAAACCGGATGATGAACTGTCTGTCACAGAAAGAAATTATCAGACTCTATCGCCAAAAATTGAACGACGAAAAGCATCAGCTGAAACTGAACTCAAATCACCGAAATTGAGTTCACTCTCGCCGAAAGAACGATTCAACCGTTTGCATAAACTCATCTTTAAACAACGACATCGTTCCCCACCGCCCGCCGTCACCACACCTTCCTTCTCTTCGTCGACCGAATCAAATGAAATGACCAACGATCTCTCCCCGGTACTCACCAACAGACATGCAAAAAACTCATTGACAACAAGCGCACAAGTTCTTGTTGTAGATGCAAAAGATAACTGCGTTAAATTGTATGTGCCAACAGGAAAATCAGATACATTTGAAAATCATCGAAAAACATTAAAAAACGACGAACGAAAAATATCCGAAGCGTATGACAATACAAACGATATTGAACAAACAATACGGACGGAAAATATTCCATCGACGACGAGAAATGTAACGCGAATTGCTGGTGTTAAAGTAATTGAACATAAAAAAAGTGATCACCCTACTCTTTTACAGCAGCAGCAAGTACAAAAGCCGACTGTTTACGTTACATCAAGTCGTTCAAAATTAACAAACAATAATAACGTAATTAATGACGATCTATCATTATCGTCAGCATCAAAGACACCATCGTCGGCAGAACAACGACGTGCGAGTTTTCATGCCAGTTACTTCGCAATAAAAAAAATTTGATGGTTATTTGTCAATGCGACATGTTTTTCTTTCAAGTCATGAAAAATATGCTCGTTGCCGTACAGAAGCATGCTTCTTTAACAGCGAATGCAATGATTGTTCTTATCAGTATGCTTAAAAGCTTCTATAAAAAGCTGTCTTTTCGAGTAGTAACATTGCTAATTGATTTATATCTTCGAAGAGAACAAGAGCTTATTATGACCAAGTGGATGTATTTATTAAACGATTCAGCTAATAAGTTACAACAAAATGCATTGTTAAGCATCTGATTAGTGAGAACAACATTCATTTCCTAAAATAATTTATTTTAGATTTCAAGAAATGTGAAAATGTCACTTTCTGATTGTAAAATAGTAACGTATCAATTTGTGTTATTAATAAAACGGTGTTTCCTAGAGAAAAATCAGTTTTTTTTCTGTCGTATTTTTCATGTTAATTTTTCATATGGACGTTACATTGCACAATTATATTTTAATTTCCCATACATCGACAAATCATGGACTACTTAAATGGTTCTATTGAACCTTGATGTGTATACGACTTCCAAGGCAAGGATAGTTATTTTGTCTCTCTATTTGTTTGTTTCAAGTCCAATTGTACGGTAAAGTTGAATTAACCGATACTTGAGCGCTCGACATTCGAGTGACCCTCTATACAACCATACACATACATTGTACTACAATTCTGAGCTTTTTCGAACTCATTCGCCTGTTTGAACTATAGCTGTAGTTGTTCAGAATGACTTTGTGTACTTGAGATTTTCTTGTTATTCTAACTATTTGGGAAACTAAGTTTCATCTCATAGATTTTAACCTTTAACTTGTTCTCTTTTCACTCACTCTCACTGTCCTTGCCTTCCCTCGCTCCAAGACGAGAAGCACAATCTCTGCAATTTTGTTGATCGTAAGAAACGTCAACTGTAGATCCCTCAAAAGTCGCTTGATGCTAAAATTGACTTTATTTTCAACTGGTTGATTTTTTTCTACGAACTGACTTTTTATTTTAAGAATAAAATGAAGTGTAGATCAAGACAGAATATTTCTAGGATCCTGTTATGAATGCAAAGGTTTCTTATTAGGAAATGTACAGCCTTAGCGAAAATATTGTGTATCTAACTAGAGATTTTTCAAAGTATAAAAGTATCAACAGACAGTTTCAATAATTCATGCATATCTGAACCTTACCCTCTTCTCATCGGCTCTTAAAAGATGTATAATACAAGACACAATATGATTAAGCATGTACCGGTTATTTAACTCGTTCAAATTCATCGTTATGCATCAATGAGTGTTTATGTCGATAGACATTTTGGATTTTTTCAGGGATTTTTGCTGATTGTTTGTTTTCTTGCTAATTGATACTGTGAAAAGTTACTGCTTAAACATGTGCTGTAATGTTCGATAGTTGGAAGTGTCCACATTGTCTATCGACATCGCAACTTGTGCGTAGTTCAATTGCATTCTAGTTATCATATGTCGCTGAGACTTCAGAGGGTCAGTGATTCTTCATATTCATGCGCTCTATTTTGTTCTCCAAGCAGGAATGTCTTATTAAACATTGAACGTGTATTTATAATGGGATGTAGAAGATGGATAATTAACATCTTCTGCTAAATACGAGCTACTATTGTATAAACTCATACCTGTAACCAATAAGATATTGAAGCACGAAACCTCGAAGAATGAGGTTGAAATATTTTTATTTCAGCAATATTCAATTAATTATGCACAAATTCAATCAACCAACTGATACACTATTTGTCTGATGAACAGAAATAAACCACCGTAACTATTGAATGGTTAGAATACATCAATAACTCAATTGTGTAGTAACATGCGGGGAAATCAGTTATCATTATAAAAACTTGGACACATTTAGTCAGTATAGCTCGAATCTAAAGAAGAAATTACCGGTTAATGCAAGGACCAGAATTTATTGGTGGATAACGGATAGATGCTAATGCCAGCGAGGCTCGAAGTACCCCTTATTCACATTGTGCAACCAGAAAGGACGGAACGTATAAGGTTAGAAATCGGCCCACTCTCTTTTTTGAATAAAAGTGGCTTCCTATCAGTAGAGCACTCCTTTAGTCATTTTTCTGTCCTAATGAAAAATTATACACTTCTCTATAGTATACTATATTCGATAGTCCTTCAAATTCTCTACAAACTGAGCTACTTAGAATATCTTGATCGGTTGAGTAATTAAATTACCGATTAATGCAAGGACCAGAATGTTGATTCTGCTCTTCGGCTTACATTACAGAAGCATAACATGTTCAACACTACAGCATTATGTAACGTTATAGGCTTAGTAGTGGCGGAGTCACCAGGGGAGCTGAGCTTCCTCTAGAAACTTTCCCCCAAGGAAATTTTAGCTCCATTTGAAAGCTTTCAGAAAAATATCTTGTAGGCAGGTTTCGGACAATGAATATGGAGCTCAGCTCCCCCAAAACCGAAATCCTGGCTCCGCCACTACAAGCAGTTACAAAAATATTGGCCTAGTTTACCACAACAAAGGCGACTATGATGATGCACGTGCATCATATAATTTTTGTAATAGTCAAGTACTTGACTATTACAAAAAGGCGCTGCATATTCGAAGGAAAACCCTGCCATGCAATCATACGGCCATTACAAGGTGCTACGATGATATGGACGCAGTTTACGCTGAAAAAGGCAACTATGATGGGACCGAAATCAAAGACCGAAGAAGAAGAAGCGACTACATTTCGTCGAACGTCATCTGCATCGTCGTCATCGTCGGTCACGACTGTCTTGCCTCATGCTTTGTCACCAATGAAATATCACGCTTGACGTCGAAAAATTTATTTAGCAGAACTGCAACGTGATACTATTCGATTAACCTTCCATTTACTGTTGAAAGACCAGGGATATCCGACTCTAGACGATCTTTTATCGACATTATTAGCAGAAGAACCGAATTTTCCATTCCAAACAAAAGAACGGGGAAAATTGAAAAAAAAGCATATTTTTTTGAATAAAATAAGACAATAGATGTGTTGGTACACCCTCAGTGAATCAGTATTGATCCCAAAGATGAAACAAACATTTTGCCACGGTAATCAGCGCCATTCATTACCTATATACCATATGTTTTTGCGTATCCAGGTCAAAAAAAGCGTGAATTCGCATGCCTCCGGGAAAAGCGCTGGATCTCCGAAAACTTGGTTTTTGAAGAGCTCGCTTAACTCATTTTTTAGAGCACACTTTGAACTATATATCTATGAAAACAAAATCATTCGACACATTCCTATGTGAATTTCGGGAAACCCAAGCTAGTATTCCAAAGACTGCCTGAAAAAGTCGCTTCAGAAATTTTTCCAAAATTCGTCTTTGCTCGCAGAAATATGTAGTCAGGTGTCTATTTCTCAAAACTGAAAACCGCAGGTCTTATCTAGCTTCTATGAAAAGTTATTCAAAAAATTACCACTGCTCTTGTATTTTCGAACCGATAGTAGTTATCAGACTAGATCGCAAGCGGAGAATAAAATTCAAGATAACTGGGTTTTGAATAAGCGTTTTCGCAGTAAAAGATTTGAAAATACATTTTTTCCTACCACTGTTAAGAACTGAAACGAATTAAGTAAAGAAATGCGCCTATGTAAGACTTTAAAAACCTTCAGATCAAAAGTAAAAACAACTATAGACACTCTAAAAGAATTTTTCTGTATGGTGTTAAACGGGCAGTAGACAAACTCTACTACCAAATAATTGTGGTTTCTCGTCATTGAACAACGATTTGTATATCAAAACACTAGTACCTGATAAAAATTGTTTATGAGGTGAGTAAGAAACAGTAAACCACTATTTACTAGACTGTTCTCGCTATGTCAGTCAGCGAGCTCTAAATCCATAGAAGATTCGATACCTAATGCGGATTGTTCTGTTAAGACTCTGCTACTTCTTCATAAAGAACTGTGTAAGGATCATTTGTTGTCTATCATGCAGCTGTGTGTTATATAGAAGAATCTTTACGATTCGATGTTTAAAATTGTACTCTTTTTCAATAACATTGTTAGTGTTAAAGGGCAACAATAAAAATAAGAACTTAAGTGCAATTGCGGCTGAAACACCCTTAATCTGATTAAGCATAATTAAGAGTTTATTTATAATAAATAGAAAACTTTTATTATTAAAACACGAATTTTCGACCTATTTATACGGTCATTATCAAGTCAAAATGTCGTACAGAGCGTTACATCAATTACCCTCAATGTAAAGCTCTGTACGACATTTTGACTTGATAATGACCGTATAAATAGGTCGAAAATTCGTGTTTTAATAATAAAAGTTTTCTATTTATTATAAATAAACTCTTAATTATGCTTAATCAAATTAAGGGTGTTACAGCCGCAATTGCACTTAAGTTTGTACTCTTTTTCTTTGTTGTACCTCACCCTCCCTCACTCAATTTATGTGTTTTTTTCATTCTGATGTTATTTTTGTTCTTTTTACTACTCATTTGCTTTGATATTAGGATTCCAGGAATGGTACAATGACTAGTCGATTCCATCCTGGATCCTATTAGCTTGTTCTTCTTCTACTTTTATAAAAATAAAGTTTAAACAAGTAAATATTAAGTACGTATTAAGATGTTTTGTTGTTGATGTATCTCATAACATGTTCACATCTACTTTATGATTCTAGATATAAAATGTTTCATAATCAACTTTAATCAAAATCATTTGACTTTCACTAGACATGAATATGAACAAGAGAAAATTAGCAGAGACAGTACAAGGGTTTAGGATAAACCAGAAATATATGTCAATTAAGAGAAATTCAACTATAAAAGAGTGCATGAAATAAGTCAAATTCATTATAAAACTTAGCGTGGATAGAATCCGTAGACAAAATGTATGGCATGTAGAAGACCTCAAGCTGTCGATAGTCTAGGTCACATTTTTACTTTAAATTTCTGTAAATTGAACACTTATTAGTGGTGTCATGTAGCTATAGTTCAATTTTTCTCAACAT